CACCCACACACACCCACGCGCCCAAACACACGCGCGCCCACACACGCCCACACCCACACCCACCCACACACAACACAACACAACACACACACACACACACACACACACACACACACACACACACACACACACACACACACGCGCGCGCGCGCGCGCGCGCACGCACACACACACATGCGAGTGCAAATACAATTCTCCAGTAAATAACTAATTTCTGATGCAGAAGACTGCAAAATGATGCTCTACGTACCCCATTCCCCAACGGAAATGCTCGGACTTCTATTTTTGATTTCAATGGATATTTCGAAGGATCAACGAGTCATTTTCTTCTTTGTTTTATTATTATGTTATGTGCCTGATTGAAACGAGATCCAACCTGGCATCCACACGTTCCCATACACATGTGCAATGACACGTGACCTTTGGAGGGAGCAATCCACACCACACCGGATGATAAGAATACGCAGTGGAAGCACACAAATACCGAAAATAGAATTGAAATGGAAATCAATTCTAATTACCGTCTCTCCCCAAGTCAATCAACAGCACAAATTTCCAAGGATCCCAACCACGTTATCAACACCCACGGACCAATTACATACGAAGTTTGATCAAAGTATCGGGGAGTCTTCTTCTTCCTCCCTCTTCCTCAAGCTCTAGCTATGGTGCTTGCAAGCACCCAACCTATCAAGCCTGCCAATCGCCACACACCCTCCTAAATCCAACACCCCTCTCTGCACCACTCAAGCAGCGCACTGCAGATGAAGTGTCCACTCAGCAGGGGAGCGCAGCTCCCAGGATGATGAAGAAGAAGGACAGCAACTCGATGAAGACGAAGTGTCTGCCACGTCGAAGAAGAAGCGCTGAAGAAAAAGTGCAGCTTCAGTGGCAGCTGACCAAACCCCAATGAGCACACAAATATGAGGAAGCGCTTATCAGCACTTGGGCGCTGAGCCCAGAGCTGTCAACAATGGAGCTGGGCGGCCCCAGCTATGGCCGCCAGCAGCATGTGGAGAAGATGCCCTGCGTACATGCCCACAATAGCACAGCAGGGAAGCAACGGGACCTCCACGAAGACCGTGAGAAGAAAAGCAACAAAAAGAACCAAAAGAACCCCAAACTCGTCAGCCTCTGCCTACTTCTACCCGACTTCCCTAGACCTACGACACAGCAGCCACCTACAGACCTCTCTGACCGTCCAAACAGCAAACATCAGCTAACATCTACGGGCAAACAGTCAAGATCTACCTACATGCATCTAGATGGAAACATAGACTAAGGGGACCCAAGGCTAAGACACACAAAAGACAGACCTACCGGCCTACCAGTTTCCAGAAGGGCAGAAAAGGACAAAACAACACGGCTGAAAGGCCTAAGACTGCCAAGTAGAGACTACTAGCAACAGGTTCAAGCCTCAAGCCCAAAAGGCTCAAAACAGTCGTTCACCAAAATAAGGACTACTAGCTACAGATCTAAGGATCAAGCCAAGTAGGGCTCGAAGCTAACAAACCAAAGGTACAAATTACAGGTCACGGGATCAAGTCCTGCAAGGCCCAAAACAAGGAAACCGCAAACACAGTTAGGGACAGTCCCACTGGGATACTGCGATCTATTGCAAATTTGCAATTATTAATATTATTATTACTTTTTTTTTGTTTTTCTACCGAAGAGTTGGTTTCTACCTCCAACCAAGGGTAATATTATGAGCCAGTCCAAATAAAACGGTCATTCACTATTTCACAAGATAGCCACACTCAGACTGTGAGACAGCCTGTCACGCAGCTGTCACGGATGGTCACTACCATCTTCCCCCTCAATACAACGGACCCCCATTATGACTGTCACGGACCCAAAAAATAGCTTGTATACATTCATGATGAGGGTATGTGTCAGTTTGAAGGAAGACGGTAGTTGTGCTGCCATCACATGGCATTGCTGATTATGTGGAATTCCTGCCCTTGTACATATTCATCCATTTCCATCTGGATTCGAACCCAGGTCGTTGCCACATGGCAGTTCCATACACGTGGCCATTTTCATACACCTGCCAATTCTACACACGTGGCTACACTATGCAGCCGCAGCTGTTGCAGTAGTTGGTGTGCAGTTGCTGCTGCTTTTTTTTCTTCTTCGGAAATCCAAATGCTCCGAGACACCTAGGAGTGTTTGTACGTGTGTCCATGTCAGAGGATGTGTGCAGCAGGTGATACTTCCCACCAATAGATGGAGCCTTCCCCTGGGTGCAAGTGGTGACTGCTTGTATCAGCAGCACTAGCACTGGCAGGGGTTGTGTTTAAAAAAAGAAAAGAAAAGAAAAAAAAAGGTGATGTGTGCGGCTGTTTTTTTTTTTTTCTTTTCTGTAGAAAATCCAGCAGCTTCTGGTACAGGTTGCAGTAGCTGTTGTGCAGGTGCAGCTGCAGCTGTTGCAGTGGGTTAACTGGTCGTATGTGCTGTCCACTTTGACGGTGATGGGTTTCACCGTTTCGCTAAAGTATTTTGCTGTTGGGTTGTGGCAATGTATACCGTGCCAACCGCAACCGTAGTGGTCATCAATGGAACACTTTCCACGGAGTTCTCCTTAAACCGCTCATTAAGGCAGGGTTGCCCATTAGCCCCGTTGTAGTTTGCCCTCCAGATGGAAGTGCTACTGAACAATATTCGTATGAACAACCAAATCCGATGACCTTTTTGCCGGTAGGCCAGTCAAGCTACAAAGGTTTTTTTTTTTTTTTTTAATAGAAAAAACAACCCCTTCCAGTGTTAGTGGTGCTGAGAAGAGCAGACACCACTAACAACCTAAGGGGGGGCTCCATCTATTGGTGGGGAGCGTCACCTGCTGGAAAGCGGGTCCAGTCAAGCTACAAAGTAAAAGCTCTCGCCGATGACCTTTTTGCCGTGTCAAAGAACTCACCGGAGTCTCTGGGGGCATTGAAACAATGTTTGGATGCCTGTTCAGAGCTCTCGGAAGCGGCAGTTAACTGGCATAAATCTGTATTTTTTTTCTGGAATCGAACTTTCAGACACAAGTCCAATGGGGAATGAAGAGGATAGAAGAGAATCGATCTGAACGCTTTTTAGGCATCCAGATCTCTCTGCTCAGTCTGCTGTCATGTATGGGGGACCAGGATGATCTGCTTTTGCAAAAAGTTCTACACCGCTTGACTACCTGGGGCAAAGCCCCCCCTCTTTCCCTATTCGGGCGAGGAATGGTAATCAACGGTGCTCTCTTCACCCTATTGTGGTTTGCGGGGGCGGTTAGAGGCTTTGATAAACAATTGCATAATTATTAATTTGGTAAAATGCAGAGCAGAAAAATTCCTATGGAAGCCGTATGCAAGTGATGACGATGCGTTCATGGCCAAAGTGGCGTGAGAAATGTTATGCGCCCCTCGAGGCCAAGCTGGATTGGGAATCCTCGATCTCAAAAGACAAAACGATGCCATTTTGATAAAATGACTATTGAAAGCCCGCTTTGGAGTCTCCTAAACCGCACTGGGTCTCCCTTGCAGAGCACATCCGAGTCCTTTCCCAAGAATGGAACCTCCCGCGCCAATCTGATGTCTGGACTTGCTTGATGATGATTTATTCGTATCAGCGTCGATTCATCAAGTCCCCCTTTTGGAAAGCCATCATTCAAGTCTGGAAAACATTGCGTCCGGATGTGTGGGTGGAACCAGTTGCCAAAACTGAAGTTATTAGCCAACCTCTATTTGAAAATCGACACATCCGTTCTCCATCTGGGGAATGGTTTGGTGCAAATACCGCATCTGAGAACTTTGGAAGAAGCCACCACCAGGATAGAGGCCTTGCACAAGGGCCTTTCAAAAAAAAAAAAAAAAAAAAAAAAAAGGGAAGAAGGTGGATCAAAAATGGGATACTCCGGATAGGGGATCTATGGGATGATATGTGTAGCTCATGGAAATCAAGAGAAAAGATCAGACTAGAGGTGGGTCAGGTTCACAATGTGGAAGATAAGAGACGCAGATTGATTGAGGCCATTCCTCAGTCATGGAAAGACTTGTTGGATTCTACGGCCATACACCCCGCGGGGTCTTGGTATAAATCCACAGTCCCAGAAGAGAGTTCCCAGATATGGAAATTGATACAAGTCCAGAGTGATGGCAAACACATCTTTCAAGGGTGGCAGCTGATCGGAGGTCATACCTTGCAGCTTAGAGGGATCTTCCTTTGTCCAAATCCGAGTTATCGAAACAGTCTTGAAGGAGGGCCTTCCCTCTTGCGTAGTGTTCTCAAACGGAAAGCCAATTCGATCTTTAAAGCTTGATCCAACTAAATGGGAATGGCGTGCAACTGGCAGCTCAGATCAGAGTCTTTGTCTGTTGGACTATACCCAGAAAATTGGGTATAATTTGGTAATCCCCTCAAAGGATCCCCAACTCGTTGCTACGACGCGCTGGAGTGCCCTCCTGACTCTAGACTCGACCCGAATTCTTGCAGACATCAGAAAATGTTGGAAACAGTTAAAGTTTATCCCTAATCAGCGATACGCAACTATATTATGGCTGCTCTTGATGGTGGCTATCCCATCAGCTGTCTGGTTGAAGGAACATGGTATGAGGATTGATATGACATGCCAGCGGTGTGAGTGGGCCTTCGAGTCTACGATTCACCTGTGGTGGGACTGCCCTGCGTCGACACGCATATGGAACTGGTGGAGGAACAAATGGGATCAACTGACAGGGGA